TGTAAATGAATAATATAATAATTTGATTAAAATAAAAAAATATTTACCAAACTAAATACAAAATAATAATATTAAATTTATAAATAAAAATAACTATGATTTTGAGAGAAAAAATAAATTATTTTTATTAAAAGGGATTTATAGGAGCTTTGTTGGGTAGTGGGGATGAAATGTATGATTTTCATTATCGACAGCCAAACTTTCTGTCGATTATATTTTCATTATTGACAAAATGACTGCCGATTATAATTAGCTGCCGGTTGTACTTATAATCGGCAAGATTTTTGCGGATAATATATACATATTCGACAGAAATTAGCTATCAATTATATATAATCGACAGTTTTTTTCTATCAGTTATTTTTTTATTATATTCGGCAGAAATGTTGATGGTTAAAGATAGAAACGATGCTGTTTTTTGAGTATAACCATCAACTTTCACTGTGGATTATGCTTGGGTTATACCCCCCGCCTTCCCTGCTTTCCCCCATTTTTTGATGTTTTTCCTCACGATCTACTTTCTTCTCTGGCGAGGTTAGCTTTTGCCGTTCGTGCTGCCTTGAGTACCTGACCCACGTGCGTCTTGGTTTCGAAATCCCCACGCCATTAACAGTAATTTTGCAGCTTTCTTGGTAGATTTTCTTATGTTTCTCTGTTTGGTTTTCCTCTGATTTACAATCCATATTCCCTCGCATTCTTGCAGATATGACAGCTCCACATCACACCATCGGCCAGAGGAGCTAACTTCCGCCGTCACCACCTCCGCCTTGCTTGGAAATCAGGCACGCAGTACATGGTAAGTTTTCCCACCAATTTTTTTTATTTCCCCTTTGATTTGCTCGAGATGAGAACGTAGAAATAGACATAGAATCAGGATGAGAAACTGCAGAAAAAGAAAGTTAAGAGGATGAAAATGATACATATTAAAAGAGAAGGTTGAAAGTATTTTTTTTTCCTTGTATAAAATGGAAACAAATTCCAGAGCTATAAGCAAATTTGCAAAACTCCTAGAAGATAAATGTAAGAACTTTTTTGTTGGAAGTTATTGAAAAGAATTATGTGAATAAATCACTATAACATGCAGTTTTTTTAACACTATGGGTAGAAAATTGACACTTACCTCAACAGGTCAATGATGCCATAAGGAAACCCATGTACAGATTCAACAATATGAAATAACATTAAAATTTAAACCAATTAACTTATCAGTGATACATAAACATTTAGAATCCTCTCAGAAAATGCAAATTTGTTGGAGTCAAACTAAATGTTTTTTCTTCTATTCCCAATCATTTTTTTGTACCATTGGAACATTGGTCCAAATAAAAATTCCCTGAATGGGTTATAGTCACATGACTTAAAAAAAAAAATAACCTTTATAAATCAGTTCAAAATTTTAGTTTTTTAAATGGAGCCTAAAGTTTTACTGGAAATAGATGCCATATGTGCTTGGACTTTTGAAATGAATAAATTTTGTTGAAAATATATAACAAATATTAATTTAAAAATAAAGGAATGATCTTTTCATTTAATTACCCTAGTTGGTACCTGGTCCAAATTTTGCACTTATTTGAGTTAATGGCACTTGCTTTTAGCTCTAACAATGACAATTTCCTTTCTAACTCCCACCATGGAAGAGAGGAGTAGAGAACACTGTACAGAGGACTCTTTCTCTCATTGGTTCATTTTTAGACCATTTTAACTTGCAACCTTGCTGAACCTTGTACCTATCCAAAGCATGCTTAAACTGTGCACAATCCTCAAACTTCATCCCAACCTCAAAAGATACCTTTTTCACTGTAGGATCAAACCAAACGTCTGAACTCTTGGTAATTCTTGGTTCATCTTCATCATTGGAGTCATCATTTGACTGGTCAAAATAATCTCCTGGATCATCACTAGGAATATAAAGTTCATCTTCACTGTCATCAGATTCAGCACTTAGATCATCATCATCAGAACCCGAGTGAATTTCTCTTCTATCCTGCTCCTCATGATGATTTTCAATGTTGCTTGATGTTGCTGCTACTTTCCCTTTCTTATTTTCTCCTTCTTCTTTTCTAGATTCTTTTTGTGATTTTCCCTTTCTCTTAAGAAGGCTTCAAGGATCTCATCATCATCTGCATCACTGTGAAGATCCTCAACATCAAACAATGGCTCCTCTTCATTTTCAATGCCATCTCCTGCATGAAATTCTGTTTCTGTCTCATCATACATACCAAACTAAAATTGTTCTACATGTTTTCCTGATCCCTCAGCATCATTTTCAGCACCACTTGCTGCATCAATTTCTTCTACATATTCACCACCATCTTGCATTATTTCTTGTGTGACACAACCTGCCCCACTGTTGCCAACCTTAAAAAAGTCCATATGATCTACCCCACCATAAACTTCCTTGTCTGCCATTGTTGTGAAAAGAAATAATAAAAAATATAATAATTTTTCTTAATCTTAATTAAATATACATACAAACCTAAGCATTAACCATACTTAACCATACTACTGCATATGACATAAACCTTAAATCCTTACTAAACAAAACCCAACCTAATACATTCGTAAATATATTACCAAATGTAGTGAGTTAACCAAATAACACATTCAAGTGAGTGAATGAAATTAAGCACTAAAGCATTTTTTGGATATTAAAAAAAATTTAAACACTAAAACATATAACAAAACAATTTTACTTTCTTTTTTCAATGAACCACCGAAGCCCAAAAGCTTAACAATGAAATTAAGCACAAAATCATATTAATTAATCCTTAATTACTATTTAATTAAGCTTAATCTATATTAAATCTTATAATATTCATG